GCAATTAGTTACACGAATTCAGATATGGAGCTTTAATAAGTTGTACTTACGCACAATCTACTTGTAATCTTGAGTTTTAAGTAATATGCATTAATAAATAATATTTTACGCATAAAAAGTAGTTTTTAAGAGTTTTTGTCAAATGCTTTATAATATAGTATAGATTGTTTTTTTATAATTTAATTTAAGTTTAATAATGAAATAATTTATTTTTGGTTTAATAATATAACATTTTATAAAGATAATAAAATAAGATGTTTATCCTGTATTTGATTGTGTTTATCTGCAATTAGTTACATGAATTCATATATGGAATGAAATCGGATAGAGATGAAACCGTTTAGGGATGAATGAGTTTAAACGTTTTTAAGAGTTTTAAGAGTTTTAACTAAATGTTTTACAAGATAGTATAGATTAATTAAATAATTAATATTATAATATTTTTTAAAAACTGTTAAAATTAAATACTTTTTTTTTTAAAATCCAGATTTTTAATTTGGAAATTTTTTTTCGTTGCTCCAATAAAAGTTGAAATCGGACAAGAGATAAAAAAGTATTTTAGTTGACAAAGGGGTGAAAAAATGGAATATTCTCGGACTAAAATCTTGACGACACCAACCCGGCGATCAGGAAACACAATCCTGGCCGTTCATCCCAGCGACGGTCCAGATTAAATCAACCAGTCCCTTGAAATACCCCCAACTTCTATATTCAAATAATCTCTCTGCTTTCTCATTTCTACACACCGAAGAAAATGTCGACGATCAAGGCGGTTAAAGCTCGTCAGATATTCGATAGTCGTGGTAATCCTACAGTCGAAGTAAGTTCGTACTTGCATTTTTCGATTCGTTGTTTTTTTTTGTGTATTCATAGTTCCTGTTAGTTGTATGTTAGATTTTGATTGGTGTTATTTGTTCACTAGATACTGTATGGATCTTGGAAACTGTGCGAATGTGGTTTTTGTTCATATCTGGATTATGTGTTTATGATATTACCGAGTATTACGATCGCTGGATATTTTAATGATGTTGTCATTTAGACTTTTAGTTGATGTCGATATAGTTAAACTAACTGCTGATTGAAACTAATGGTTTCAGGTTGATGTTTCACTTTCCGATGGGACCTTGGCCAGAGCTGCCGTACCTAGCGGTGCTTCAACAGGTATAATGGTGTGAGTGTAGTTGGTTTCTTGAGTTAATATTATATAAACGCGATTAGGTGTCACTAGAAGATATAAATAAATGATCAATAGTTTTCTGCAATGAGAATTGTCAATAGCATCAATTTGAAACATAATGAGAATATCTATACATGTAATTTTAGCTTGAAATCATAGCAAACAAGTAAAATTGAAGTTCCTTTAGAAATCTGAAAATGAAGATGGTAACAGTCAACTTTGGGGACCAATCTTGATGATAGGAGATTGTAACACGCAAAATCACAGACGGTACAAAAGCTTACATTCGTGCAAACTCTTATACTGTGATCATAGATGGTTTGGCTTGTGAGTGGTTTATTTTTTTAATTTGTATTTGCAGGTATATATGAAGCTCTAGAATTAAGAGATGGAGGTTCGGACTATCTAGGAAAAGGTGTCTTGAAGGTTTGTAAAACTCTTCTTCCTAATCGGGTTTTTTTATGTTCACCACTTGGTTGGATAGTTCCTAAAACCTGAAACATGTGTACTTTGCTGCCTCCTTTCTACAAATGGAGGTAGGTGGCTGATTGGCCTTTGAGCGATATGACGTTTTCTTTACTCCAAACTTGAGTTGCAAATGTTGATATCAGGTGATTTTTTGGTGCTATTATCAAGAAATGCTGAATTATACAAAAATATTTATGTTTGGAGACTATAATGTTGTTGGTATGGTGCACTCATGGAGATGGTCTGATCTTATGATTTGTAGGGATTAATTTTTTGCCTAAAATTGACATGTTCTTTTTGTTGGTCAGGCTGTGGAGAATGTTAACGCGATAATTGGACCTGCCTTGATTGGCAAGGTATGTTCTCTGCCATCAGTTTCTCATTCTTTTCATTGACAACTCATAAACTTCTACATGTTTGGTACGCAATTCTATGTCACATGCACCTACAGGATCCTACAGAGCAGACCAAAATTGACAACTTCATGGTTCAAGAACTTGATGGAACTGTAAACGAATGGGGTTGGTGCAAACAGAAGGTATTGCAATTTATTCTGCAGTCAGTTATTGATCAGACAAAAGTCTCATATTCTTGTGACCTGCCTAACAACTATTTTGTTCCTCTCTACCAGCTTGGGGCAAATGCTATATTGGCAGTGTCACTTGCTGTGTGTAAAGCAGGGGCATCAGTTAAAAAAATCCCTCTCTATAAGGTACCCACTACCCACCTTTGTTCCTTGGTGTAAACTTGTAACTGATGTGAATTATGACGGTTTAGTTGCTTTGCACAAACGAAGTACTTCAAGTTTGTTGTCTTCATATGCAGCACATTGCAAACCTTGCTGGAAATAAGACCTTGGTTCTGCCTGTACCAGCATTCAACGTGATAAATGGAGGTTCGCATGCAGGTAACAAGCTTGCGATGCAGGAGTTTATGATTCTTCCTGTTGGAGCTTCTTCTTTCAAGGAAGCCATGAAGATGGGTGTTGAAGTATATCATAACTTGAAGGTGTCACCTTCTACTCTTTTAACCACACCATGGCATTGTTGTAGGCTTTGCATTAACAATATTTTTATCTTGCAGTCTGTTATTAAAAAGAAATATGGTCAGGATGCCACCAACGTTGGTGATGAAGGTGGCTTTGCTCCTAATATTCAGGTCAGGTGTTTCCATTGGAACTGAAGAAATAAGAACTTATATTTTGACAAGTTCATATTTGTTTGAAATATCTTTATGGCCACAGGTATTTAGTGGATCCAGGGTACTTAAATGCTGTTTAAGATGTTGGCCTTTCAAGCATACCTGATATCATATATGTTGCTCATTCTGCTTCCATGAATTTGGTGCTATTCAGTTCTATGTGAGATAAATTATGTTTCTTGGATGATATATATAATATGACTCGTGTCACTTGTTATACAGGATAACAAAGAAGGTCTTGAACTTTTGAAGACTGCAATTGCCAAAGCTGGATATACTGGAAAAGTAAAAAAATTCTTAGTACGGTTAAAAAATACATTATTGGTATGGTGTATATTCTCTTAATACTTGTAATGCCCTTCTTCTTAAGGTATGCTGATTTTTCAATATTAATCTTCATGGGTATTTCAGGAATTTATGGTGGTAAACCACCTTCCAATCAATGTTTGACTAAGTCAGATATCTTATTTGTAGGCTGATGTTTCTCTACTTTGCAGGTGAACCAGATTGGATCAGTTACAGAAAGCATTGAAGCTGTGAGGATGTCAAAACGTGCTGGTTGGGGGGTCATGGCTAGCCACAGAAGGTGCAATTCAATCTCATCTCTATCTTTAGGAGAGAAGGATGGATTCTTTGTTTCCTAATTCCTATATTATTTGATACTCAAATCCTTATGGTTATATGATAAATGAAATGAATCCCCCCTTGAACTTGTTGCAGTGGTGAAACCGAAGATACCTTCATTGCTGATCTTTCAGTTGGATTGTCCACGGTAATAGCTGTTGAAAAATTCAATCTAAAGATATACTAGTAATTGTTACTTTAATTTTTAAATCACAAGCGGGAACTGGTTCAGCAGTGGTCCGGGTTTTAAGATTTTTTTGGGTTCATTTTTTAAACATCATGTCACCCTAAAAGATCATGAAACAACACTCTAAAAGATAGCTTTATATATATATATATATATATATATATATGTGTGTGTGTGTGTGTGTGTGTGTGCGTGTATATATATATATATACACATATAATTGTGATCTGATCTGATTATGGAACTTGGTAAAACAGGGTGAGATCAAGACTGGAGCTCCTTGCCGGTCAGAACGGCTTGCAAAATACCAGGTAATCTCTCTGTTTATCCCTTGATTTGGTTAGAAGCTTGATGAACATTAACTAAAATAAGTCATTTAAAACTGTAGCTTCTGAGGATAGAAGAAGAGTTGGGATCAGCAGCAGTCTATGCAGGAGCGAAATTCCGTGCCCCAGTGGAACCTTATTAAATCAAGCTCTTTCCCAGGTGAAGTTTCTTGTGTCCTGATTTAAGTATTTCGGAACTATCTGCTTTTGTTATTATGGTCTGAAATGGTTTATGTTATCTTGTACTAATACTAACTAGTTAACCACCCTCCTAGTCCTAATTTTATCTTCATCTAAATATGATTGTTTTTGGCTTCTTGATTGGTGTTATTTTTTCTCCTTCCTAATTTTATATAATCTTTAGGGCCGTTTTCCCAAATGCTTGCCTTGTAAGTGCTTACCAGTAAGAGTCCACATTTTCGCTCACCTTACTAGGTAAGACTCTAGTCCATCAAAACGGCATCATATGCAACAATTTTCCCGGTTAGCTTTACTGGATAAGACTCTCGGTTCTTGCCATCGCACTTACTAGGTAAGATTCTCGGTCTTTGTCATATTTATTTAGTAAGGTAACTGACCAAGTAAGCGCTTACTGGGTCAGCATTTGGTAAACTGCCCCTTATCCTCAATCTCACAAGAATTCTGCATTGTTACTTGATTTTTGGGTTGCTCTTTTGACATTACTTTCTCAGAGATAATTACCACAACAGTTTGAGGTCATTTGCTCATCATCGTTCCCTCTTTTGCATCAACTTTGCATGCTTTCAATTTAGCAAAAAAATTTGACAGGATTTTCTTAGGTGTGCGTTAATGAATATACATACTAGTGATTTTTTTCTCTTTTCTTTGATCAAAATGCTCCCACTCCCAAGTCCCAATGATGGATGTCGAGCCCATTTGGTTCTTACTACTACCGTTTTATGAGCCCATGCAACCCAACCTAAAAACGTTATACAATGAACTTTTTGAATCTTGATAAGCCCAAAGCCGAGCTCAAAGACACATCTTCTTTCTCGGCCCAATTATCAAGCATATGAACCCTAGGACACATATATATATCCTTGCAACCACTCACCCACATATCACTTATGTTAAACTACCAAATTCATCCTCACTTAATATTTCTTGCCAGCAAAATGAATGATTTGCAAGCGTCTTCTACTTGCTAATCAAGTAAGAGTCTTCTTTCTTATTTACCATGCAAGAACCTCGGTTGTTGTTATGTCTCTTATCGAGTAAGATTCTAGATTCATGCCCTTAAATGCAAATGATTAGGTAACTGTTTACATGGTAAACATTTGATAAACATCATATAAATTTATTCTAATATACAACCAACAATTGTTACAACAAACGGAATCAAATGAATCGGTTGGGGTAGAGGTTATTTATATAGAGTTAGGAGAATATCTAATAAAATTAATATGATCATGAGTCAAACTAAAAAGAAAGCTGCAGGACTTTGAATTTATCCAATCAGTCAAGATAGATGTTAAATTAAGATCCTATTTTTATTTAAGTTTAAGTGAAAATAATTTTTAAACTCCTTTAGCTCAGCAATTTTGTCCATTTAATTTTTGAGGGTCAAATCTATTAGTCCTTTGTTATACAATTTTCATGTAGTATTATTTTTCTCTTCAAATCATATAAAGTCAAGTTATAGTTAAGACGAAAGATCGTTGTAGATCTTTTCATCGTGACGTTTATCTTCACTGAAATCCAACTTTAATTATATGATCAGAAATTGATGAGTATGGGTGTCTAAATACATGAATATAACGTTGTGAATCTTGTGATTATATCAAAAATGCATAAATGAGTGCTACGGGAATAATGATAACATATATATACACAAACACACACGTATCGACGAACCTTTTTCATCTTCACTTTTGTTCTTTTTTATCTTTTAGGATTAATAAGTTCATTGAAAGTTTTAATGTATAACTTTAACGGTTATATTTAACAAAATTAAATCAATATATAGTCTTATGGCAATTGGACAAACAAAGATAATCAAATACATTCGAACTATTCAGCCATTTATATAAAAAAAATCATTTTTTTAAACCTTTGTATGTGTACACACACTTTAACATCTGAAATGAATAATTCGTTTTCATAATTAAAATAAATCTAAAGTAGTGATAATGATTTGAATCCGATTCTCCGGTCGGATCCCACCATGCTTTAAAGTATGCATATTCACCCATGTTTGGAAATTTCAAACTACCTTCTCCCTATATAAAATTTATTTTTAATGATTAACGAAATTTTCAAATCAATTATTTTTTATTTATAAATTATAATAAATAAAAGAATACTTGAAATCAAAAAAAAAAAAAAAAACTTATCATATTATTGTTACATGTTTCAACAGTCAAAACAAATATCTATTCAATTATCTTATTATCAAATATAATGTAGAGGCAATTGTCAGTAGTTGGTGCAATAAATCCCAGTAGTCAGTATCGTATTTACGTAGAAGAAAATGAAAAATTGCATGTGGGGCTTCCCGTAATAATTATGATTCATATCTTTAGCCAATTTAGTATCTAAACAACCTTTTGTTAGTGACATCACATTACGTACCATTCCTTCTTGTTCGGTGTATTCATGAAGTGGCACATTTGTCTTAAATTGTGGAGCTCAGTCAAAGATCTTAGTTTGATCGGAGTCAAAAAACAAGATTCAAAATATGAATTCCAGCACTCGAGTATTCTATAAAACGATCTATACAATCAATTATTCAGTAAAATTAATCAATAAAATGCATTGTAAAAATCAAAATCAGAAACTTAAACATATAATTTTATAAAACGATAATAATATATACATACATAATTGTTACATGTATATGATTCCTTGTTTGATGGTGAATGATACCATCAAAATACACCCATGTTTGGATGGATTTGGTAAAGTTGTGGTTGGGTTGCAAAATAGGCACCATTCTCCATTCACAATATTGGTTCACTACTGTACATAAAAATGGTGCTTTTTTTTATCCCACCAACCGCTTTAGCAACTTGTACCGTGCTACACACCCTAATTCCATGATACTTCACATTTTATCATCAACACACTTTGTCTGAATCCTTACATACACTCGTATACGGATCTAGAGGGGTGGTTAGGTGACACGTGTCACTGTATTGTTCCTCCGTGGTAAGGTAAAAAAAATAGGTTCGTGAAAGGTGTAACCGTTTTATTCTAGAATGTGTAACCTTTTTATATAGTGCCACTGTATCAAAAAATTATTGGGTCCGTCTCTGCATATACTAAAAGACCGTCTCTGCATATACTAAAAGACCAAACTGTAAATAGATGTGAGATAAGGGGCTAATTTTATGAAACTTTAGTTCTCTAGGGCTGGAATCTATGTTATCTCAAAATTCAGGGAGTTTTTTTGAAATTTTGATACAAGTTAAATATATAAAATGTGTATGTTGCGAAAATTAACGACGTTAAAGGTTTTTAACTTGAAGATGTTGCAAAAATTGACTCGCTATTTAACCAAATTTGATGCTCAAATTTTGTTTCAATACCTTGTGTAACTCGTAGGGATGGTTATGGAAATACTACTTAGGGACTGTTTACCAAACACTTGTTTGGTAAGTATTTACGGGTAAAATTTAATACTATTATTTACATATTAGGGTAAGATTTTAGTCCAACAAAACGACATCGTATGCAACAATTTACCCGGTAAGCATTAATCATGGTAAAAGTCATCGCCCTCACTTACCGGGTAAGACACTTAGAGGCCGTTTACTAAACACTTACCCGATAAGTGTTTATTGGGTAGTTTTCATTACCGGATGAACAGGGCAAGGGTCAAAAATCTTACCCGGTAAGAGCAACGATAAAAATGGAGAGTCTTACTCGGTAAGTGAGGGTGATGACTCTTACCTGGGTAAGTGCTTACAGGGTAAATTGTTGCATATGATACCATTTTGATATACTACAATCTTACTCGGTAAAATAAATTATAGTGCTGGCTCCTAAAGGTAAACACTTACCGGGTAAGCATTTAGGTAAACGGCCCTTTAGTCTTTGTCTCGCTCTTACCGGGTAAGATTCTTTCTTCTCACCATATTTATCATGTAAGGTAATGTGATTTGATAAACGACCCCTTGGTCTAACTCATGTGGATCCGATCAGATGACTGAGATCCATGTGTTTATAAAAATGGCCAAACGGGATGAACCTTAGATCTTGGTTTAGGAAAGCAGGCTATGACTAGAGGTGGATTTAGAAAATTTTCGAAGTGGTTGCAACAACTAACTATCCTAATATAAAATAAAAAATAATGAAAAATTAACGGAAAATATGGTTTTATTTATACAAGCATACAATTAACTTTAAAAATATGTATTTTTTGTTAACATTAAAAATATAATTAATTTTAAACATATTCAATATTGAACTCGTTTTGAAGGTATCGACAAAACCTTTCTAACGGTGTAATTTATAGAAGAAAATACATATTTTTAAAGTACTCTAGCTATTAATTACTTAAGATGATAAGGGCATAAAATAAAATTTAAAAAAGGAAGGAAAGTAAATCAAAACCACTAAAATATTTGAAGGGTTAAAAGCGTAATTGATTTCCAACCACCATTCTCAAGTTTGCCATTGTGGAACACGTTTTTTTCTCTTACATTTCATTTAAACTCCCTAAAGATTTTAATATTTATGGTTTTAACTCAAAAAATCCTATGGTTTCACAGTTTATACCTTTAATTTTTTACACTTGGACCTTACATTTTTATGGTTTCACAGACAACCATACCTTAAAGGGTAGGTCCGCCCATGGCTACAACATTAGGCCATGACTATACTTTGGATCGTGCTTGTTTGACCGAGTATTATTCTAGGTCAAATCTTGGTACAACCCAGGGCTAATCTTGAGTTTCAAGTATTGGATTTCAGCCCTTGCGAAATTTATAAGAGAAAAATTACTATTTTTGTAATTAATGTTTCCTTAAATACCAGAAATATGCTTATTATTGTCATTCTTTGGACAATTCTCTTTAAAAGTTGTCTTTGTTCTGAAATACTCTTAATATATTTCTACTTTTTCATGTCGTCGAGTAAATTGAGCAGTTATGGAGGAGCTATGTCTAACCTTGAATCTTCTAATAGAGAAATTATGTACAACAAATTCATCCTCATGCACCACCTCCAAACCGACAACTACTGATGACATATCCATCTCCACCACGCCCCAACCAGACATCGAAGAGCTCGAGAAGAAATAT